ACTGATACTGTATACAGATGTGTGTTCAGATTATAATGACTGACGCTGTCTACACTGATACAGTATACAGATGTGTGTTCAGATTATAATGACTGACGCTGTCTACACTGATACAGTATACAGATGTGTGTTCAGATTATAATGAGTGACGCTGTCTAGACTGATACAGTATACAGATGTGTGTTCAGATTATAATGAGTGACGCTGATACACTGATACAGTATACATATGTGTGTTCCGATTATAATGACTGACGCTGTCTACACTGATACAGTATACAGATGTGTGTTCAGATTATAATGACTGACGCTGTCTACACTGATACAGTATACAGATGTGTGTTCAGATTATAATGACTGACGCGGTCTACACTGATACAGTATACAGATGTGTGTTCAGATTATAATGAGTGACGCTGATACACTGATACAGTATACATATGTGTGTTCAGATTATAATGACTGACGCTGTCTACACTGATACAGTATACAGATGTGTGTTCAGATTATAATGACTGACGCTGTCTACACTGATACAGTATACAGATGTGTGTTCAGATTATAATGACTGACGCTGTCTACACTGATACAGTATACAGATGTGTGTTCAGATTATAATGACTGACGCTGTCTACACTGATACTGTATACAGATGTGTGTTCAGATTATAATGACTGACGCTGTCTACACTGATGTGTGTTCAGATTATAATGACTGACGCTGATACACTGATACAGTATACAGATGTGTGTTCAGATTATAATGACTGACGCTGTCTACACTGATACAGTATACAGATGTGTGTTCAGATTATAATGACTGACGCTGATACACTGATACAGTATACAGATGTGTGTTCAGATTATAATGACTGACGCTGTCTACACTGATACAGTATACAGACGTTTGTTCAGATTATAATGATTGACGCTGTCTACACTGATACAGTGTACAGATGTGTGTTCAGATTATAATGACTGACGCTGTCTACACTGATACAGTATACAGATGTGTGTTCAGATTATAATGACTGATGCTGTCTACACTGATACAGTATACATATGTGTGTTCAGATTATAATGACTGACGCTGTCTACACTGATACAGTATACAGATGTTTGTTCTGATTATAATGAGTGACGCTGTCTACACTGATACAGTATACAGATGTGTGTTCAGATTATAATGACTGACGCTGTCTACACTGATACAGTATACAGATGTGTGTTCAGATTATAATGACTGATGCTGTCTACACTGATACAGTATACAGATGTGTGTTCAGATTATAATGACTGACGGTGTCTACACTGATACAGTATACAGATGTGTGTTCAGATTATAATGACTGACGCTGTCTACACTGATACAGTATACAGATGTGTGTTCAGATTATAATGACTGACGCTGTCTACACTGATACAGTATACAGATGTGTGTTCAGATTATAATGACTGACGCTGTCTACACTGATACTGTATACAGATGTGTGTTCAGATTATAATGACTGATGCTGTCTACACTGATACAGTATACAGATGTGTGTTCAGATTATAATGACTGACGCTGTCTACACTGATACAGTATACAGATGTGTGTTCAGATTATAATGACTGACGCTGATACACTGATACAGTATACAGATGTGTGTTCAGATTATAATGACTGACGCTGTCTACACTGATACAGTATACAGATGTGTGTTCAGATTATAATGACTGACGCTGATACACTGATACAGTATACAGACGTTTGTTCAGATTATAATGATTGACGCTGTCTACACTGATACAGTATACAGATGTGCGTTCAGATTATAATGACTGACGCTGTCTACACTGATACAGTATACAGATGTGTGTTCAGATTATAATGACTGATGCTGTCTACACTGATACTGTATACAGATGTGTGTTCAGATTATAATGACTGATGCTGTCTACACTGATACTGTATACAGATGTGTGTTCAGATTATAATGACTGACGCTGTCTACACTGATACTGTATACAGATGTGTGTTCAGATTATAATGACTGACGCTGTCTACACTGATACTGTATACAGATGTGTGTTCAGATTATAATGACTGACGCTGATACACTGATACAGTATACAGATGTGTGTTCAGATTATAATGACTGACGCTGTCTACACTGATACTGTATACAGATGTGTGTTCAGATTATAATGACTGACGCTGTCTACACTGATACTGTATACAGATGTGTGTTCAGATTATAATGACTGACGCTGATACACTGATACAGTATACAGATGTGTGTTTAGATTATAATGACTGACGCTGATACACTGATACAGTATACAGATGTGTGTTCAGATTATAATGACTGACGCTGATACACTGATACAGTATACAGATGTGTGTTCAGATTATAATGACTGATGCTGTCTACACTGATACAGTATACAGATGTGTGTTCAGATTATAATGACTGACGCTGATACACTGATACAGTATACAGATGTGTGTTCAGATTATAATGGCTGATGCTGTCTACACTGATACAGTATACAGATGTGTGTTCAGATTATAATGACTGACGCTGTCTACACTGATACAGTATACAGATGTGTGTTCAGATTATAATGACTGACGCTGTCTACACTGATACAGTATACAGATGTGTGTTCAGATTATAATGACTGACGCTGTCTACACTGATACAGTATACAGATGTGTGTTCAGATTATAATGACTGACGCTGTCTACACTGATACTGTATACAGATGTGTGTTCAGATTATAATGACTGATGCTGTCTACACTGATACAGTATACAGATGTGTGTTCAGATTATAATGAGTGATGCTGTCTACACTGATACAGTATACAGATGTGTGTTCAGATTATAATGGCTGATGCTGTCTACACTGATACAGTATACAGATGTGTGTTCAGATTATAATGGCTGATGCTGTCTACACTGATACAGTATACAGATGTGTGTTCAGATTATAATGACTGACGCTGTCTACACTGATACAGTATACAGATGTGTGTTCAGATTATAATGACTGATGCTGTCTACACTGATACAGTATACAGATGTGTGTTCAGATTATAATGACTGACGCTGTCTACACTGATACAGTATACAGATGTGTGTTCAGATTATAATGACTGACGCTGTCTACACTGATACAGTATACAGATGTGTGTTCAGATTATAATGGCTGATGCTGTCTACACTGATACAGTATACAGATGTGTGTTCAGATTATAATGACTGATGCTGTCTACACTGATACAGTATACAGATGTGTGTTCAGATTATAATGGCTGATGCTGTCTACACTGATACAGTATACAGATCTGTGTTCAGATTATAATGGCTGATGCTGTCTACACTGATACAGTATACAGATCTGTGTTCAGATTATAATGACTGATGCTGTCTACACTGATACAGTATACAGATGTGTGTTCAGATTATAATGGCTGATGCTGTCTACACTGATACAGTATACAGATGTGTGTTCAGATTATAATGGCTGATGCTGTCTACACTGATACAGTATACAGATCTGTGTTCAGATTATAATGACTGATGCTGTCTACACTGATACAGTATACAGATGTGTGTTCAGATTATAATGACTGATGCTGTCTACACTGATACAGTATACAGATCTGTGTTCAGATTATAATGGCTGATGCTGTCTACACTGATACAGTATACAGATCTGTGTTCAGATTATAATGACTGACGCTGTCTACACTGATACAGTATACAGATGTGTGTTCAGATTATAATGACTGACGCTGTCTACACTGATACAGTATACAGATCTGTGTTCAGATTATAATGACTGATGCTGTCTACACTGATACAGTATACAGATGTGTGTTCAGATTATAATGACTGACGCTGTCTACACTGATACAGTATACAGATGTGTGTTCAGATTATAATGACTGACGCTGTCTACACTGATACAGTATAAAGATGTACGACAGGACAAATGGAAGTTTTATTTTAAAGCTTTATCTGTAAATTAAGGTTTTATATGGATAATATTTTTTATATGGATAACACACATGCATGTATATTTAAGAAAAAAATATTATTTATATATAAAATATTTATATTTATATATAATATAAATTATATATAAATCTATATACAGTATATACATGAAAATATTTCTTAAATATATACAAGCATGTGTGTGTATTTATATATATAAAATAATTATACACAGTGCACCCACATATATTATGTAAAAAAAACTTTTATTTTGGATGTGATTAATCACGATTAATCATTTGACAGCCCTAATATATATATATATATATATATATATATATATATATATATATACATATTATTATTTATTTTTTTATATTTTTGTACAATTTTTTTTATTAACATTATAAGTAAACCTCAAGGAACATTCAAATAATTTAAAAATCCATGCCATGACCCCTTTAAATTATATGAAATATCACAATGCAAAATATTCCTCAAACTCTTCTTTTGGCAAAATATAACTTCTTATTTTTTTCATTTGGATTTTGGGATGAAATATAACATGGGCATGTTAAGTTTCATAAAATGCATCATTTTATTGTGCTTTTAAAAACTGGCTGTAAAAAATCTAATCAGAATTTATTGGTGTGTTTTATGTAGGGTTGTCCTGATATGAAAATTCAGTAGTCGATACCAATACCAGTGAAATCATAATATTCTCAATAACATGATCGAAAACTAACGCCATTGGTTAAGTCAGAAAGTAATATGCTGAATAAGTCAGATTAATTAAATTAGATTTAAACGGTGTGTAAAATTGATGCTCAAAGAAGGTATATCAAGTAAAATCAGCAAAGCCTTTATTATGGTAAAATTTGTGTCTACCAATGTAAATCAGTACTGCCAACAGGTTTTGCAGTTTTTTATTTATTTATTAATTGTCTATGTGAAACTTAAGAACCCATTGTTTTCATACTCAGTACTTTAATATGTTTTGAAAAACTGTACCTCAGGTTGGATGAAGATTTACTGGCATGAGCTTTGAGCTCCCACAGCATCACCCTTCCGTCACTGACCACCAGGGCGGCACTGTTCTCATTGACAGGGCAGATCACCACTCGGTAGGGCCGCACAGTCTTAGTCACACGGATAGCGTCACACTGGGAGCGGAGATCGTATACCAACTCTTGGACATTCTGCTCTGGGTCAGTCACTGGAACAACCAAAAAACATTTGGTATGTGTAAACTTATTCAAAAAAATGGCCTATAAAAATCTTGTTGAGAGTATCACGTCTTTTATATGGTATGGTGTTAAATGTAAAGCAAAATTATCTAAAGTGCTTTTTGTAGAAAACACGATTACAAAGGCAACTAAATGATATAGATTATAAAATAAAATAGCCTTACAGAAGATCATTCTCATCCCCTACACTCACAATTTCAGTTGTTACCATCAAAGAGCCGTTTTTAGGCAACCATGGCCAAGGAAAATTTTTTATCAGATGTCATTTGTCCCAATTTGTAGCCATATATATGTACATATGGGAATGTATATTTGTGTGTGTACGATGAAATTTTATGTGTGTATATAGTTTGAATTTGTTGTGTTGATGTCTGTATGGAGAAGCCAGACACAAATTTCCACCTTGTAGACAATAAAAGTAACTAACTAACTATGTATACCATAATTGTGATGTAAAATGACTTGTATGCCTCAGCCCCAGACTGAAGAACAGTTGTGAAGGAACAAAGGTTGTCTTGCCTGATTCATTAGGAGAAGGTGTTGTGGAGCGACACACACGCAGGGTGACGCAACCGTTCTCGTGGAGGCAGTAGAGAGCATCTCTCTGGGCACAAGGAATCACCTACACACACAAGACACAAAGCATAAGAGGCTTCAATGTTTCCCCAGCCAAATTTGAGACATCATATAAATTACAAAAATGTACAGTCTGAACATTTATTTATATATATATGGGATGGTATAATAAAATATAAGCACCAAATATGAAGCGCTTTTGTTGATCTTACTGCTATTTTTTAACACTTAACCTGTTAACCGTCACCCCCTGTTTAGCACAGATCTGAACTTAAATGTTTGTAATTCATGCATGGTTTGGAATACAGACCTAAAGGTCGGTCTCTTTTTAAAGAAACCCAGCAGGTTATTGCAGAAGTGATTGCACTTCAAAAAAGGAAAATGTAAAAAAGTTATAGAAGTTTAAGTTTGCAGTAAAGCAAATGTACTGAAGTAAAAAAATATATATATATTTGATACAAAATATATATTTTACAAAAAAAAAAAACGAGTTCTAAGATTGCTATAAAAAAATCTAAGTCATATGTTTAACCAAGTTGTGTTGCAAATTTGAAGTAGATATCACAAACATTAAGCACCCGCTAAAAGGTTTTAAATATAATTTCCATGTTAATTCCAATGTTCAATTTTTTTTAAATGGTCTTCATAGGATGGATTTGGAGCATTTAAGCTTTCGGATGATACCTAATTTATGATGGTTACTAAAATATGTGATAGCAAAAAAAACAGGACACTGACAGTTATTAGCCAGCCAGGATGAAGGACCATCACCTTCGACTAAACCTTGCAAAGACAGAACTGCTTGTGGTCTCAGCCAACTCAACGCTTCATTACAACCTCTCTATCCAGCTATAGGTTCGTCAACCATAACTCCATCCAGGACAGCCAGGAACCTTGGAGCTGTGATTGACGATCAGTTAAACTTCAGTCAGACACCATAGCTAGAACTGCCCGGTCCAAATATTTGCCGTATTTAACATTACGAAGATCCTTCCTATCGGAGCATGCTACACAACTCCTTGTCCAAGCTCTTGTTAAAAGAAAAAATAATAAATATATTTTTGAAACAACATAATGAGTAAATAATGAGAAAATTTTCATGTTTCTGTAAACTGTTCTTTTAACAATATCTGTTTTGCATATTCAAACGGACCTGAGTCTGTACACATATCTGCCTCTATGTATACTGAATATCAAAAACAAGCATTTGTTGTGAGTATTTGGGTTCTGGTAAGAGAAGAACTAGGACGAATGTGTGAGCCTTCAGTGTGTGTTATTGGCTTATGCCAGGCTCCCACGGTCAACCTAGATTCAGGGTGTGAGAGCTTGCAGCTGCACCATCAGTCATGCAAATTGCCTTCCTGACAAGTGCTTTATAACACTTAATGCATATGCGTGTGTGTGTGTGAGAACTCTGATTGAGGGGAGGGCGGGAAACTTTAAATACAATTTAATCAACAAAACACAATAAAACAGATCAGAAGACACACTGGCATTATCGAATGCTCAAGAAATTACATTTAAATGGATCATTATAAAAATCAACTGAGCATTGTGTCCAGTGTCTATGAACAACATGGTAGAGCCTTTTTGTGTAAAAACATCCCCCGTCTGTTATTTTCGCCCCCTGAAACTATCAAAACTTATTTGAAAAGTATCATTTTTACTTCAGAAAATAAAAATAACAAAAAAATTCAGGAGATGTTGAGGCTGGAAACGGGCATCTCTCTGAATCACTGTTTCACGAAACGCCCCATGTAGGAGGTCATAGCAGGTATTTTCTTTGATTTTTTTTACTTATTTGCTAGCCTGCACCATTCAATGCCTGAGGAAATTTGCCATCTCGAACTAGCTACCCATAGTACAGAGCCTGCAGATGATATTTCAGAAATAACACAATAAAATATGTTGTAATGCCTGATTTCTTTAGTAAAGATCGCTCCGAACATCCTCCAATGGTCAATTGTTGGTTGTAAAAAAAAAAAAAACATAGCTAAAAATTGGCGATTCAGCCTTTAGACATTTCAGTCCCAAGCTTTGTAACTCTCAACCTGACAACCTACATGCAATCAGCTCAATATGCACTTTTAAAAAGTATCTCCAAACACATTTGTTCACTAGGACATTTCCTTGATTTATTTTATTGTATTTCATTTTATTATCTTATCTCTATCATGTGCGTACGTATGAGTTTCATTTCTGTGAATGCACACATGTATTTCTCTTCGGTAAAGCACTTTTTAAACAATGTTTATATAGGTGCAATATATATAAAGCTTTACCTTCTTACTTACTCCTTAGTTACACTTGGCTCGGTATTGACTTTGAAATTCCATATTCAAAAACTATTGTTAGATATATTATCTATCCACAGTGTTCCCATGCCTGCTGCCTGAGTTATCAGAAAGTAGCTTATGATATTTGCATTTGCAGGTAGTATTTTTGTGGGGCTTTTGTCAGGAGCAGTGATGTATTTGGGTTAATGTTTTCTACATTAAGCACTCTAGCTGTATTTGGGCTTGGTCACCACAGAACAATAGCGCTTCGCTCATATTTATAGTGACAATATTGTTCTGTCTGTATGTCAGTATCTCTGATAATTGCTTCTCTATCTGCTTGAACGAGTGCCGTGAATGAGGTGTCAGAGTCGAGGAGTCTCTGTGTCTCTTTAAGCATTTCTGCTCGTGTTTAGCAGAAGGAGAAATAATCACGTCTCCCATGCTCTTCATGTGATAAGCACCATCTGTGTGGCATGAGTGTCTGTTAACCGCCACCACAGTGTTTATGGTGCACGAGAAGCAAAGAAATCGATGCTCTGTGTCTTGCACAGAAATGTTTTTGGTTCATTTTTGGTTTATTTGTGTAAATGTGTGTACTCAGGGCCTTAGCGAGTGTGTGAAATGGTGTCAGTCGCCAATTGGCCAGTAACAATTATGTCAAAAAACGCCCGTCTCGGCGAGTATCCTAGTAAACATAGTTTGTTATGTCTTAAGTGAACGCAAACACAAAAACACAAAACACATTATCCGTGCGTACATTCGGATTTAAAGTGACAGGATCCTAATAATCCTGCAACTGTCTACATTTTTTATGTTAACCAAACAACAAAGGACAAAGAAAAAACACTCATTGCTCTTGAACTTTAAAAGGATATGAAGAATATGCGGTGTTATTTATTTGATTAGCCTACTTTATTTAATTTCGGTACCTGAAAACTATTAGACCTGGCTGAAGAGCACTGTTTATTTTATTTGTATGTATTGCATTGTATTTATTTGTGCTTTAAATTTGATTGTTTGTTCTTATTTTATTACTGACTGTTTAATTGACTTAAAAAATGTTATAGTTATATGTTAAGCTATTAGTTTTAGCTGTGGTATCAAATTTGAATAGAGGAAAGTGAATTTTCACTGGTATTTAACATTTTGGTGTCATAACTGCCTGTTTTTGTGTCATGGCTAATAAAAAATATTTTTAGCCGGTAAATTTTCTTTTGTGGCAGGTGTGGCAAAAAATTAGTTTTAGGCCCTGTGTGTACTGTACCGAGATCCCTGTATCCGTCCTGGTTGGTAGAGATACATCATCTACAACTTTTTCAAGCCTTTTCTCACGTAAATGCGTCTCTATAGCACGCATTGTGTTTTGTCGTGCAATTTATACGCGAAAATGAGTTTTTACGTGCATATGATACGCAGTTTTCGCGTGCATTTGATACGGAGTTCATTTGGGTGTAATACACACGCACCCCACACCACTACTAAACCTACCCTAACCAACCTATGCGTATCCTATGCACGTAAAAACTCATTTTCACGTATAAATTGCACGACAAACACTCTGCGTGCTATAGAGACGCATTGTGATCGGGTTGCTTTTTCAGACGACACAATGTAGTTCATTAAAACACACAAAAAAATCACTTTATCAAACTAAAAAAGATACCCATTCAATTAAAAGCATGCAGTCTATTACATTCACGCTCACACACACCTGTATAAAAGGCACTCCGGAGCGCTCGATGGCGACCACTCCGACGGTTTGACTGAGCTCCAAGTCTAGGATGAGGATTTCTCTGGGGTACAACAGCAGCATGTGGTTCCTCTTGGATGGCAGATATGACAGCTGGAGACAGTCATTAAGAGTCACTGCTTCAGCCCTGCAAACACACACACACACACACATAGCCAGGTCACATTTAAACATCAATTTATCCTGCCTGCTTAAGTGTTTATCTATGGCCCAACCAGCTTTTGCGTACAATTCTACAACACATCAGATCCCTATGCATCTTTATCCAAAGGTGTTCAATGGTAAATGGTCTCGCGTAGTCAATTGCTGTGGGGTAATTGGTGTATCACTATTTTACTACTTGATCTTTTTGTGCTTCTCAATTAAAGGGTTAGTTCACCCAAACATTTTAATTCTGTCATCATTTACTCACTCTCATGTTGTTCCAAACCCATAAGACTTTCGTTCATCTTCAGAACACAAATGAAGATATTACTGAAATCTAAGATATTTCTGTCCCTCCATTGACAGCTACGCTACTACCACTTTGACGCTTCAAAAAGTTCATAAAGAGATAAAGCGGTGGAAGAACACTTGTTGTTTTGTTTTTTAATTCCATGTAAAATACAGCAAACAACACTTGAGTTGTTGATATTGCCAGTGTCTGCATGTATGGTGTTGGATAATTATCACTATGTCTTGATTTGGCATTGTTGCTGGTGGTGTGATTTAAATGCATTAATTTAGCAAGGATGCATTAAATTGATCAAAAGTTACAGCAAAGACATTTATAACGTTACAAGAGTTTCATATTTCAAAGAAATGCTGTTCTTTTGAACTTTCTATTCATCAAATAATCCTGGAAAAAAAATATGTATCGCAGTTTCCACAAAAATTTTAAGCAGAATGTTTTCAAAAATAAGGCTTCAATTTCTTGAGCAGCAAATCAGCATATTAAAGTGAAGTGACTGGTGGTTGTTTTCCATACACAGCGTGCAGACTCAATTAATCGATTTTCATTGTTCGTTTTTCCCATTTTCGTTTATTATGTGTTGTTGCAGCCCTGGAAATTATCGTTTCTCCCTCTGAAAACTGGTACATAACAACCCTGACACACACTAATGTTGTCTCTGGGAGAGCCGTAGATGAAACAAACAAAAGCATGTATAAATTACACATGCTGTGATCCAGTTGCTTTCCAAATCCGTGAATGAAAACATACAGATGGGAAAAAAGAAATGCAAAATTGTTTCTAGAACAAAAAAACCAACAACAATAAAAAACTATGTAAAACCAGCTATTAGCAACATTCATCTAGCCTAGTTGTATATGGCGTCATAATATTCTTGCAATAGAATCCAAGCAGTCAGAAGCAGTGTGGTGTTTCTCCTGACGGAAAGTTGTGTTAGTGGTTAATTCACTTTTGAGGACATCTGAGCATTACAGAAGACACTGAGAAGTGCAGTCATTACTTGAGTAAGGGTGGGAATCGTTAGGCACCTCAAAATTTGTTCTGATTTCGATACTGTGTGACCATTCCTGGTCTAAATGTTATTTATGTATTATTATTATTAAAGGCAAACTATGTAGGATTTTTGTATTAAAATATCCAAAAACCACTAGCACATTGTTATATATTTTGTTGACTTGAGTAATTACATTTAACGTTTTCAACAATGTTACAATGTTAACCAGTGTACGATCTCTCCTCATTGCGTCATTATTACCTTTTTAATTTCCGGTTTAACTTCTGTAGAACAAAACAAAAGAAGAAGGCGGGAGCCGACAAACGTTAAATGTAACTTTAATCGCAATAGACATAAACAACAAAACGAAAGGAGCGCCAGCAGCCGACTGCGGCATATAAGCATAGTTAAAGCCTAGTTTACACGTACACAGAGCTTTTCTCCGTCCACATGAAAACACAAAAACACGCCATGTAGGGGTGGGCGCTATACCGGTATGAACGTGAATACCGGTATTATGTTGTGCCATGATATGGATTTTGCGATACCGAGGATACCGTATTCATAAATTCAAATTTTGCAGTTATATTGTTTTGTTCAATTTGGTAGCCAACTCTTTACAACTGTTAACACTAATGGCGATACAGAATCGAATACGCTGTTTAAGGAAATGGCTGATTTGGCGCTTCATACGCGTGAAGTTGCTGAGGCGATTAACCGCTGTCCTGTGACGCGTTCAATGAAGGACCGTATAACGTCGAACACATCGCTAGTGCTAAGCGGCTGTTCATAAAGGATGGATGCATCTTTTGCGGTGGAATGGGAAATAACAAGGTAATGAGACGCAAGTTTGACTTTTAACTTGAGCGCAGCATTTTTAGAATGCCGTTTCATTTGCGAGACGCGGGTGCAACACCAAAACAAGTTCGTCAAGCACAAAAAAACATTAAAGTTCTAGGCTACTTTATGTTTGAGATGTCATGTTTTCATGAAGGTTGAAAGCTGCTATTATTATCTTTGACTTTGTTTTTACAAAACATTTACTGCTAATCAGGGGCGTTGCTAGACATTAAGCTCTACTGGGGCACAGGCCCCCCCATTGTTTGTCGTTCTTAGCAAGCGTAACTAAGGAGGGCGGGGCTTACCGATAGATAAATTAAATGTGTTTGTTTCAAAAACACCATGCCGGGTAGAGTAACCTAGGGGGGTTCGGGGTTCCCCCGAGAAAATTTGGATTTCTCGGACCTACATATGTGCATTTTAAGGTGTTTGAATGCCAACAAATTGGATAACAATAGCTTTAAAATCATGTTACACGAATTTCTTTTTTTTTTTTTTGCCATAAAAAGGCATGAAAATAGAAAACGGAGAGAAAACTTTCTTGCACTTTTGCATTCTTCTACATTACACAATGTTAATAATGAATAATTTGCCTTTATATTTTTCAAGAATTTACAATTACATCATTTCAATAAATCAATAAAGAGTTAATATATACTATATAAAATAAAGAGCATGTATATTCTAAAAGAAAACAAAGTTCCCCAGCCAAGTCCAAACTAAGTTGATTTATTTGTTGAGCATTAAACTAGGCTACCGCCTATGCTTCATTTTGGCAAAACGGTCAATCACTTGACTCTGACTCAATTTTACTTTTAAGATTATTGGTATTATTTAGAAACTTTTGTTTCGTCATGTTTTCACAGCCTACCTCGCGTGCCAACACCGGACTTCGGTGTGCTCCGATGTGTGCGCGCTGCTGTTGCTAGGAAACACAGACGCGTGCAGATTTCTGTCGCGTGGGTCAGCTTCTGTTTCGGTTAAACTGCGTTGCTTTTACAAGCCTATAACATAATTTATATTAAATACACTGACAAATAAAATAAATTGTTAAACTCAAACTTCAGATTTACTGGGGCACAGCAGATTTATACTGGGGCACGTGCCCCAGTAAAATGGGTCTAGCAACGCCCCTGCTGCTAATAATATTATCCACGTGGAAACATTTCCCCAATGTAACGTTAGGAATAAAAGGACACGACACACACATAAGCGCGCAAACACACACACTGGTCCACTATCTGTGTGGGGACTCTCCATAGACGTAATTGGGTTTATACTGTACAAACTGTAGGCCTTTATTCTGTCTCCTTACACTAATGAATTAGTTTGTATGAAAATGTTCATTGTTTTCTTGTATACTTTTAAGTTCTATTTATTTGGTGCTTTGTTCAATCTCAAACCATTATTTAATTTTTTTTATTAAGATGTCTGCACAAGAGTTAACTGTAATCTGTGCAAACATTAAACTTAAATGAAACGTCTCGCTTTGGTCTACACTGGAAGTGTTCTGCTCGCTCTGCTAAAGCTAAACTATAATTACTAAAACTGAAACTAAATCAAATTTAATAAACTATATAGAAATGTGTTTGCAAAATAAAAACTAACAAAACCATTAATGAAACTAGCTAAAACTAAACTGAAATTTAAAACAAAATTGAAAACGATATTAAAATAAAAACTAATTTAAAAAAGCAAAACTATAACAACAGATATTCCCGGAGACAGAGCACACCCGAAGACGGCTCTCACTCAGAAATCAATAAAGTCTTAATTCGCTGCCGGTTCTCATTATGACAAGATGAGCAAAAAGTGGAAAGACATAACAAGTGCATTCAGGCCTACCTCATGTTGCACGTTTGCACTTTTTGAGGAAAAAAAAATGGCACAATAAAAAAAAACACATTTCAGGTCTATGTCCAATGAAATGCCTCACCTGTTTCTAGTTATCTACTGTTAAAATACATATTTTGCCTGTAATTTAACTAAGGTGTACTAAAATGTGATTCCAATTTTTTTTCTCATATCGCGATATAATATCGATATCGTCCGGACAGTGAAAAATATTGTGATATGAATTTTTGCTCATATCGCCCACCCCTAACGCCATGAAGTGCAGTCAAGAGTAAGTGTGACCGAAATTAATTCACAATCTCGAACTTCGAATTAAAAAATGGAATCGTCGATGCTGCCACGCCCCCATGTCACGTCCGGTCGGCGTGCCAAGCGGAAAAAAAACACGCGTGTTGAGCTAAGCCATTCAAAAGATAGCATGGCAACTACAGATGCAGGAGACCCATCGATAGAACTTGAACCCCCTTCACTTTCATTGAAGTCGCAGGTGTGAAAGTTTTTGGGATTTCCAGTGAGTTATGTTGACAACGTTTGCGCTTCAAAAAAAGCCACGTTGGCCAATCAGAAGCCTGAAAAAAGTTATTACCCGTTCCGGTAGGCTAACAATGTGTTGTCATAAGCGGTGTCCTGCGTAGTATTGCATTTCTGACACCTCTGTTCGGCAAATTAATGGGAGAACTGTGCATGTATCTGTATACATGTGATAAGCACAGTTGTTAGCAGCAATATTTTGGCTACGTCCGGCATTGCATAGACTCGCCTCATGCAAACAAAGGAGATACGGGCGCACAATCTGACGTCAAACAAAGAAGATAACAGCGCGCACTCCGACGTCACAAGACAAAATCTACTGTTTCATCGTCTACACGACAACACTGCAACCGGAGTTTCTGAAAATCTTCACCCTGGCAGGAGTTTTCAAAAAGGTTCGGTTTCAGTGACCGGATACTGCGTTTGATTGTGGACGAACAGCCAAACCGCATATAAA